GGACCCAGGAAACTGGATACTTAAAAGTCACTTAAATGTTTTAACAGCATTGGAAAATGGGAGCTGCTACTAAGTTGGCGTTCGCTGTTTTTCTTATCTCTTGTTCTTCAGGTAAGCGAATGTTCTTGGTTTTGTCGCTTTAAACGTAAGGCTTTGGGGTCAGCACTTGAAAGCTTGAGGGAACTTTGTCGATTAGCGTGAACGAGGAGAAGTCTTCCTTTTGAGGAGGAATCTTTTTTTTTTTTTTCAGATGACATCCTTGGGGATGGCAGTGGCCGTAAAGGCAGAAGCTGTTTTCGTTGTTATTCTTAAAAATGTGTAACGTGAGCCCATGGGACGCGTGCAGCCCTTGGATTTCAGATCAACTGTGCAGAACAAATGTGGACACACAACCACCTAGTGTCACGTACCCTGCTCTGGCGATGCAGTTATTGGTGTTTCCTGGTCGGTTTATTTTTTTAAATAACCCAGCTGAAGTACTCTTAACTTCAGTTAGATCTTTTATTCTGGACCGATCACTGCTGAATGGCAACCTTCATTAATGCTTCATTAGTTTGGCATAGGTACTGCTCTGAAAGCATTAGCTCGTTCTTTAGTGATAGCGAAGGGGGTGTGCACGTACGCACAGAATTAGGCTGAAAAGGCAGACTTGCAGTTTCTAAAGAATAATTTGTAGCGCTTTCTGGTTTGCTGCTCGAGTCGTCGCTGCCTTGTAGTGCAAGAAAAAAAAAAAGCTGCAACTTTTCTCTTTAAAACATCAGAAATTCAATTTCAAACGCCAGCTTGAGCCCTGGGAAGCCAGCGGGGTGTGAAGACTTCACACGCTACTTGAGGAGGAAAATTGGTCTGGTAGCAACCAGTGGTTGGGGGAACTGTTGGTACATCTCTGCTGGAAGCTCCCCGAGTTTCACAAAAACACCTATTCTGAGCTGTGCAGTGGGTTTATGGTGGTTTTCAGGGCAAGCCTGGCACTGCTTACACTCTGGATGGGCACACAGCCCTCTGTGTAGGTTTAGATGCGCTTTTTAGCTTCCTTGCGGGGTGTGCAAAGGTGGACTTGTTTATCGCTCTGAAAGCTGGCAGGCAAGTGCTCCGCTTTTCGGTGTCACCGGTGTAAGGCAGTAATGAGATCCCTATAACCGTGCCTTTTAAAATTTCAGTGTTATGATGTACAGGATTTTGCTGAACAGGACTTTTTCTTGTGGTTAGTAAATGGATAGTCTAGTCTTATGTCTGTAGTGGTATCGATCAATTCCGTGTGTGCTAAATGTGCTGTGAAATGGCGAGGGCTGCCAGAAATAAACCAAAGAAGTCCTTTCTGGTTTAACCAGATAAATAACAGAGCAGGTTAGGGACAGACAGAGGTTTGGGGTTTTTTTATTAAGGTATACCATTTATTCCGCTCTTAAAACATGGTTTTTTTTCTGACAGTTTTATCTTGCACTAGAAGATGCGTCTTTTGTCTTTACTAAATACCTTATAAGTTACTCGAGCAACATTCCTGTAATTCAGTAGTGTTTTCTGTAGGGAACCTCTCCCCCCCGACAGTTTCGGGAAGACTTGGTGCCACTTGCTCTTCATGCCTGTCTCTCACTTGAGGTCTTTTTTGCCTAGAGCACAGAACAGGGATCTTGCTGACGTTACCTGCCCACCGTATTAAAAAGAACGGTGAAGTAACAAAAGCTGTCTTGTCTTTTAGCATTTCTTGCTCAGGTTGCTCTTGGTAAGGTAAAACGAATGTTTCTCTGGCCTGTGAAGGTGGAATTAATTTTTGCTAAATGAGCAGGAAACTGGCTGCAATTCCGACCGCTTCTTAGGTTAATGACGTTGTTTTGGTGGTTATTCCAGTGTTCCACATGGAGTGTTCCGGTATTTAACAATTATTAAACTATTTTCTACTCATGAAAGTTTTAGAGTATCTGCAGTCCTGGTGTAGGTCTAAAAAGAAATAAATTCAACAGCAAGCTTTTGGTTTTTTTTATGATCAAAATGTCAGATTCTTGCACGAAGTACAGGTATTTTTATAAGCAGTGTTCTCTTAACTGTGGCTTGTTTCGGTTTAAAATCATCCGTGATCAATTGATTCTAACATCATTGTCAGAAGAAGTTTCTTTTCCCGTCTTCAGTCTGAAAAAAAGTCTGCCCAAGCTGTATGTTTAAGAATATTGGCAATGGCTGAAGAAATCCTAGAGTTGAGGTGTAAAGATACCTGGTTTGTCTTCGCTACTCTTGAGTGTGTGTGTGTTTGGGCATGGGGGTGTTGGTTTTCTGTGTTTAATTTATTTTTATATGCAACTGTTTTCTGACGTTGTTTACATAGCCAATTAATACTGATGTTCTTTAAATAGGTGAAAATGTTGTGGAGTGTTTTTTTTCTGTGTGGTGGGTGTGGAACTGGTCTTTAGGTCGAAGGCATTTTATTTTATTATCTGTGAACTGCTGTATGAATTCCTGTAAATGTACTTCAAACAGATAGGCATTTCCAGGGAATCTAATAATCTTTGCTAAGGGAGTGAAAATATTTCCCAGTTCTGATTAAGATATTTGAATAAGAGCATCTGTGTTATGTTATTAGGCTTTAAAATATTTGTAGATGCTTGGAGAAAAGTGGGTGTAGGTTTGCACCCATTTGTACTAATTCAGGAGGAGGAGATGAATGCGCATTAACTAAACATAAAAACAATGGGCCCGGGTCAAGGTTCTCCATGTGCCCTCTGATACACATTTTATATAAACCTGTGTGTATTTTTTTATTTAATAAAGAATATCCTGAAGTAATAATAAAACGCTTGTGAACAATTGAATACGCTTCATCTCCTGTAGGTGAGGCAAGACTGTAGGTGAGCTTAGAAAAGAGAAATAGTAAGTAATGTAGCTTGTTCATCAAAGGACGCTTCTCTTTAGATATGATCTATGTTCTCCCTTCCCCCAAGGAAGTGTGTTTCTGTGTCTTCCAGTTTTTGTGATTGCTGAGTTAGACTTTATGAAATTTCAGGAACAGTGAACGTACACTTTCATAATTGCCTCTGATGTTTCAGAATATATACCCTATGCAGCTGAAAATGTGGGAGGTGTTGAAGTCGTGGATTGGCTTTAACCAAAATCTGTTGTGGGCGCTATGGGTTTTTAACGCCTCGTGGTTCCTTTTGTTACTCTTACGCCCTATGTCTCCCAAACCGTCATTTCTTCTCTTCTGAGCTACCTGCTCTGCCTTGGGTACCTGGGTGGTCCATCATCAAAGTAGTTCTGCAGCTCTTAAATCTCTTGCAGGAGACAAGACCTGTATTGGTTAAATTCACTTAAGCTAAATTCATGCTAAAAATCACCTGAGCAGAAGGAAACTCCTCAGAAAAGTCTTGGTCCTCACTTTTTTTCATAGTGCTAGATCGTTCTCAAGCCACTCAGGAGGTCTTGAGTCATTTTGCTAAAGGAAATGGCATGTCAAAGATACCTTTGTAGTTGAAGTAGCACTTTCACTGCCTGGGGAACATTTTATTCTTTGATTTTTAATTTATTCTTTGCCTGTCTCATACCAATTACTATCAGGGAAAATGATTTTTTTTTTTAATTTCCCTCCCCACCCCCCAAAAAAATTCCAGATAGAACTGTAAAGCCCAAGATCCTGCTGTGGCTTCAGGAGCTGAATGTTTAGGTGTTCTGAGGGAATTGAGGGGTGGGAGGTGAGACTTTTTTTTCTTTAATTTTAGTAGCGTAACATTTTTCGGACTGCCCTTTCATTATTAATTTGGTAGCACTTGAAAACCCTGCCGAAGTTTTAGGAGTATTGTTTGTGAAATTGTTGCTGCTGGTATGTTCTCTGCAAGCTGCCCGTGATTGTGGTTGAAGTCTAATCGCTTTATTGCACAGGCAGAGCAATAAAACACTTCAGACACAGTACTGTTCTTGAAGTCAAATCCCGCCCAAGATTCCTTTTTTATGAGTGTAAGCTTTTTTTTTTTGTATTAAGTGTGTTATCATTGGGCAGCGCTGGGCTCTTGATGTTGCTGTTCAGAGCAGGACTTGTAAACCTACTTAATACTGTTTTCAAGATACACTTACGTATTCATGGCTGTAGGTTGACGTTATAACTTTGACAGATCAAAATTCTGTTACTATTTCTGTGTAATCTCTTAATAACAACAGTTGCAAACTCCAAATCTCCTGGGTTAGAAAAAAAGAGCTGTACGTTGTGCTAAGGCGATATTAGGGCACGTAAGCGTGGTTCTAGTAGGACTCTGCTTGACGAGTGTTTCCAGAGAGCTGCTGCTGTCAGGGGTTTATTTGCATATCTACCCTTCAGACACAAGTCTTTTCTCATAGAAAAAGCTGAAGTAAGTTTGTCTTGGAATGCTGGATGCTACGTAAGTTGGCGGGAGGAGGCGTTCTGTGTGAGGGGAAAGCTGTTGTCTGCTTTACGGGGTGCAAGACGGTGATTACTGCTATAACAAATAATGGTTTTAATGGAGAGTATCTGAATGCCATTTCTTTTTTCCGCCAGCTTTTCTGGAGTTTGGGGATGACATTCCTTAGGTGATGGAGTTGGATGGTTTGCAAACGAGGATAGACCAATACTTTCTTTTCTTCTTCTGTTTAACTATAGAGGTTTATTTTTGTCGTATCATTAGTTTTTGGTAGGGGGGGAAATAACAGTAACTCCAATGTCTTTCATTCCTTCTGATTCTGCCTTCTCTTCCAACCTTTTCTAGTTTTGAAAAAGCTTGGATTTCAGCTCCCATAGCTTATTTCTCTTTGCAACTGGAATTCTGGTCTATTCCAAATCATTACTAGTTGTCTTTATTCACAGGCAGATGTGGTGGACAATACGCAAAGGTTGTCTTTTGGAGACCTGTGTGATTCGGAGCCAAGAGACAGCAAGTCCTGGGTGCTTATTCTTGGGAAATCATCTGGAGAATAATCCTTATAACATGGGCTGTAAAAAGATACAGGTTGACAAGGAATCTGATTTAGGAAGCGATTTCTTGGTGAGGGGGAGATGCATTTTCACCACTTAATTAACAGAAAACAGATTAATGCAAATGTCTACTTTAGCTGGTTGGTAGAATACATGGTCTGTTAGTTATCTGATGTTCCTGAAAATGAGAACTCTTTAA